TGAGGACTGACGATCACTCGCATCATGCCATATCCCTCCGAACGTTATGGTGGCTGTTAGATAAGTCGCCGCGGGGGACTACACAACAGGTGCTTTCACTGAGTTTGCAGCCTTTCTGGAATAAACAATAGTCTGTGGTCGTGTCCTTGCTGCCTTTACTGGAAGTTATGTTGCTAGCCTATTACGAAACGCAGCGCAGCTTTTTATTAGGGTTTGTGTGGTTAGCCCAGTCTGTAACACCAACTTCATCAAAGTAGGACCACACCCTTAGTACTTAGATGACACTGGAATCCTTGTCAACGAAGTAGCAACATTTTTGAGAGAGTGCTTCACGGATGTAGCTCAATTGCTCCGGGTGATGTGGCTGAACTCCGTCAGCAGAGGAATCTCCGGACTCATGAACACTGTGAGCAATGGGGTTTTCGTATCATTTTGTTTTCCACTTCACTGTGAGTTGTTCCGAACGTTTGGATGTTCCTTTCAATTGATGCCCGGTAGTATGCACAATCGCTTGATGCAAAATCACCTCCTTCTAATCCGCGGAATTTAGTGTTACCCGAAGTAATGGAGGTTCATCATACTTCAGGGAATTTGGGTAACGCCCGAGGTGTCTCAGTGTGGTGGGGTAAGTACCGATATCCATCACACTAGATGGAATCCCACTGATTACCATAGTCTATCAGCAAAGGCTTTATTATATTCGATTTAGATCCGGAATCGTTAGTGCATACGAGACTTAAGACCCCCTAGCTGCGCCTGGTGGCTATCGGCTAAAGAGCATTAAGTTCCGTTGCTTTCTATGGACAGGTAAGCGGCACTGGCGGTGGTATTCCATACTGCAACACAGTTTTGTCCAGTCCGGTACATGGAGTCACGAGTGATTTTTCTCCGCGTTTTCCTGGAGGCAACCGATGCGTATGATGTTCCGTTGTTTGTTTGTTTTTACCGTGGACTGGCTGTAGCTTTAGGTTTAAAGTATCTCAACTGAATTCCTGGATGCGACCTCGTAAGAGGAAGTGGAAGCAAGCAAGTTGTAAATGACTTGTCCACTTGGCGGAGTGAAGTGAGTTGGGACAGTTGGAGAATAGGATGCTGAGGTAAGGTTGGGACTCATTTCTTCTGGTCTAACTGTAGAATCTATAGCGTTTTGTTGAGATGTAAGCGTAGCTTCGTTTAGTTTCAGAAGTGTAACTCTGGCGTGTAACAATTGCAGAGCTGCTTCCGCCAACCTTTCCCACATGGGATTCTTTACTAGCGGGATCAGCACGGCTAATTAAAGCCTAGATGAAAAAGGAGCAAAGCAGTGCTGTGCCAATCTGGCAATTGATCATGGAATTGCGCGATTCTAAACAGATATATTAGCTTAGGTTTCCAGAAGGGGTTTCTGGCCCTTTTATCCAAATGGGAGTATTTGCATACACTAAGCAGCTGCTACGGAAATGTCTCAAACACTGATCGAAAATCTGCCCGAATTTGGATGACAAAGTGAGAATCTTCATGCCTGCGAAGGTGCTGCGTTTACGCCGGATACAACTTCATACAAATAAGCAAACGGACGATGGAGCAGCAAGAAACCCAAAGTTTACCTTGTGTTCCTAACACTCTGGTTTACTTTGAACTGGCTAGGAGGAACAGGCGTTAGTGTAGCCGATCTCTAGCATTCATGAGCTTTAGGAGAGTGCTGTGTTCGAAAGGGTTGGCAAAACATCATACGATACTCAAGGATGCAGCTGGGCAGAACCGTTTGGGAGGAATTAACGAAAGAACCTGTGCGTGACAATGAACTCAGTAGACGGATCAAGCGTTGAAGAAGAGGGACGTGTGATGAGGCAAACAAATAGAGCTGATGTGGAGAGTTCCCAGTGTAGCACTCCACGACAGAAGTTGTCCTTGTTCCAGCTCCTTGTATATAGCCGAAGGTTTGAATTCATGAAACTAAATGGCTAATCAATTGAAAGTTATCGATGCCAAGTAGAGACCATCACTTCACTTACAGTCGTATACCTATGTGACTCTGGATTTTGAAATCGAACATTCCATGAAGACGGATCTTCGAGTTACTGCTAGTTGATTTTGAGGGATTGTTGATAAGCTTTTAAAAGTAAAATTGCTATTAATGAACTCCAGTAGGCAATAAAATGAAGCTATCTAAAGTTGTGTGTGCGAACATGCTGCTTGATTTTTTAAACAAATCAACCGCTTATAATTAATTGACATTATCCACCTTTACTGGCAGCTTAAATAGCCTAAAACCTCTGAATCGCCCAACCGTTTCTAATACAGTTTCTCTGGACAGCACCACATTGCTACATAATGCCCCAGTCGTTGTGGGATGAAAACGTTATACTCGTGAATAGTTTTGCATAAGTGACCAACTCAGCGGATATATACCCTTGTCTGGGCCAAACCGATTTTGGGTTGTTAAAGTAGCGGTGACCGTTTATGCTTTCATGGGATATAACTTATCCTTAAATTAAATATGCGAAGTTGTGCCAAGGTGGATGTCTGCTCCTCAGGATGGAGCAGCCATTGCGCTTCTTCAAGCATAAAGAAGTAAGTCGAAACAGTAATTAAGCAGGTGGCTTCACATACCAACAAAGTTCCTATGGCTTTCCGAAGCTTCAACCATTTCGGAGGAATAATGGGAAAATAGCCTAGCAGTCTGACGCAGGATGTACTACGACGTTGTGATAAGACAGATGTTCTGCTTTTGTTTTAAAAAACCTTCGTGGGTGCACATAGCACACTCTGGACTCAACTTGACTTTGATGACATTAAGAGTTTGGTGTCTTGTATTACCCCTACTTGTTGAGTATTGCTCATATCTGGTGGAAGCAGAGCTTGAGTACGACGGAGGTTAAGCCGTTGCTGCTTGGAAAAACCCTCCGGTGCGGCATCGCATTACTTACTAGACTTGAACTGCTTACATTTACGAAGCTGTGTTCTCCAGATGCAAGTTGGATGGATTCCTCTGTGTGCATTACAAACTGTCGGTTCATCTAGTTGTGTGGAACCTCGAGGCGATCAGCCGATGACGTGACAAAACACTCATGAAGAAATTGATCAAGATATTGTTACGTGCCATCTTCGTATCTGATGGTCGCGGGGAGAGGTACATCAGTGAACGCAGATCGTATTCGACAGCGCCATCGTGATTTGAAGTGGTTGCGAATATCCGTAGCTCGGGATGTGGATGTGGGTATTGCGCTGTTCTCCGAGCTGAACGATTAAGTTGCAAACGTTTCACTGCCAGACTAGGCAACATCGTCAGTGTGGCTTTAAGGTCCTGTTTCGCAGAGCCTCGTAAGCGACTTCGAGATCTATGCGCTTACTGCTCGAGTTCTGCTTTGAATACCAGGCCTCAATAAACTCACTTGCTTGCTGGCTTGTGAATCTTCCGAGTATTTCAACGTGCTCCAGGTCGAACTGGTGGTCTTCGGCATCCATATGCACGGACATCAAAGAATTCTGATCATGGCGGCGGATTGCTAGGCTACGTTCATGTAGCCGTGTGACAAGCTTCCTTCCTGTTTGTCCTATGTAGTAGGTATCACAGTCTCGGCAGCAGATTTTGTAGATTACACCAGATGTCGCTTACTGGCTAAGTTTATCCTTCACTTTGAAGAGTTTATTTCGTATGATTTCTGTAGGTCGATGGGCAATTTTGACTCCCAAGGGCAACAGAAGTCTTGCTGTCACTTCAGAGATGCCGTTGACGTAAGGCAACGCGGCCTGTTTTCCAGCCGTTGCATTTGTTGATATGTGTTGTGTTGCCTTATTTGGGGCTAAGCATCGCAGAATGAAGCCTTTTAGGTACGAATTCCGTTTGAACAGGCTGAAGAGATGGTCTTTCTCCGCCTGCCTCAGCTGCTGCGTGCTACAATGCGTCCGTGCCCGTTTGAAAAGTGTTAGCACGCAGCTGCGTTTGTGGACTGCCGGATGATTGCTGTTGTAGTTGAGGATCTGGTCCGTATGTGTTGATTTTCAATAGACCGTGGTTTCCAGTGGTCTTGAACCAGTCCTACGTATGAGAACGTCTAAAAATGGCAGCTGCCCATTGTTTTCCTCTTCCCTCGTGTATTGCATGCCGTCGAACACACTGCTGATTAGCCCATGTGTCTCCTCTAATTTGGAGCGTTTGAGGATGACGAAGGTGTCGTCTATGTAGCGCACCCAAATTTTCGGTTTCGCAATTGGGAGTGTTATCCGTTCTAGCGCCTGCATTACTGCTTCGCCTACCAGTCCAGAGATCGGCGATCCCACTTGTGTGTTTTTTATCTGTCGGTAGAGTTTGTTCTTAAAGGTGAAGTGTGTTGTTAGACAGAATCCCAGCAACTCCACATTTGGTTAAACCAAATGTGATTCGGGAGTCGAATTTAATAGACTTGCCTGAAGCGGTGATGTAAGTAGTGTTTTTTGTAATTGCAACTCTTTCATTGAACTGTGCACCTGAAGTAGTCACAAAAAAGTTAACTTTCTGTTTTGCGTCTCTAGGTAGTTACATTAGGCTTTTACATGCTTAAAATATCGCAGTTGTTATAGAAATGATTGGTTACCTTGTGAAAATATTGACACTTAAGTTGTCTTGCCTCAGTTTCACTACTGATATCCCGCTACTATTGTCCCAGGATCTGCGAACCAAATAGCTTGCCAAAGATTTGGGGTTCCGGTGAATTATCATCGAGTGGAACAGTTGCAAAAGGGTCGGATAATCCTGGAGTTATGAATACGCCACTTGCCCTGATGCCAAATTCTTGAGTCTAATTGCTACCACCTAATGTTATTCGTCAATTATAACAACGCTTATACTACATACTGCTTTCTGTAGCTGAATACTCTTAGACATCAGTAGCAGAGGAATTCTGCGAGTAGTTCTGCTACCCCAGCTACAAAATTTGAGGTTCCGAGGCTATGTACGCATGGAAAGCCCTCAGGTGTCATGATGACTAACGCCTCCTATTAGTAACAGTAAGCTTTCATCGATTAAACGCAAAGGATACAAAACAGTTCCACTCTTATCCGTGAAACTTGTGATGAATAATGATCCATCAGAGTAGCGCTGCTCGATGTTCCCCAATTCTGCATGGCCAATCATGCCATTCGTAAGCCGCTGTGATGATGTGGTATCTTCGATGTTCAATGCGTTTCTCTGGGCGGTTGTGTCGATCACTTTGCAGCTGTCCTCCAGTCCGCGCTGGTTCCCATCAAGCAGGAGAGCCGAGGTTTCTTCCAATTTCACAGTCCAGCCCAGATTCATGCAAACTGGATTTGAAAGACGATACATGAGTGTGTCGTCATCACATGGCGCTGGCGGAAGAGATATAAGTGTAACACAATTAGCGGGTGCATTCGGTCGGTGATCGAACAAGTTAACTGCATCTAGTTAAAGTCCTTTCAACACACCAAAATGATGAGCTTGTTCTAACTCTACGCTAAAATCGGGTAATCTCTAAGACTCTCAGTGCCAAAGACACGGCGATCTCCGAACAGTGTGAGAGCAGCGCATACTTGCGGACCACCTAGGGGGCGAGTAGAGCAGGCAGAAATACCATGAACAAAGACAGATGCATTCATTTCCACCACACCACGAGCTTCTAACAGTCACAAATTCTGTTGTAACTGACTACAGATTCAGAATCGAATGATTCAATTAAAGCCAAGTAACTTGGTTCAGAAATACAGTCGATAGATTACTGGCACACTTGAATGATACAGCTGCGCCAATATGCGAAAGTTGCCAGACAATACGTAAAAATGCGAAAACTCCGTACAAACTAGTACTTCAGACCGTCCATCAACTCACCGTGTTACAGAAACGTCAGTGTATGCCAGCCGTCGTAAGCGTTATCAGTCCGCTGAGCTCGGGCTCCGCTTTCTTTCAATGGATTGAAAATGAAAACCAGCTACTAGCACTGATTGGAGGATCATTTTGGAGTACACGATGTAAGATTGGATTCAGACGCACAATCGCAATGTGGACAGTGATCCACTTTAGCGACGGTCCTGTTGATCAATTGGCCAAGGTTCACTTCAACACAAATCACAGTATGCATTGAGATGGCGCGTCGCAATCCAATCACAAAACGTGCACCTCAAACTGGCCCTCTAATCAGTCAGTAACCGTTGTGCCAGATGTTACCCGTCCAGCCCAGGTGGCTAACGGGGTAGAGGTCCAAACTAGCATCCCAATGATCTCAGGTTCGATGCTTGTTATCTTCCCCCGATGAGTTCGATTAAGGTCGAAAAGCGTCGTGGCATGCATTATTTGCAGGCGGGCAATATATAATTTCCTCCAAGTGCTGACGCCTTCTGGCCGCTCGAAGTTGAGCCGTCCACACTGGAGGAAGATTAAACCTTATGAGCACTGACAGCTTTACTTTCTTGCCCCTAGTTACTTACATGCTGGTGGATCAATACCGCGCATAGTTAGGTAAGCACAACCATGCCTGTCTCTATGTTTAGAACGGAATGTACGGTTTTCTCGACGAAAACTATCTAAGCATCAGTTCTTAGACGACCATGTAGTGCTGCAACACGTCTGGTAGTCTGCATCCAGTTAGCAGTTGATCATGTTTGTTGAGCACTCCAGAACTAACCCACATCTTTGATTTCTCCAGTGCAAAAGAGTCCCGTTTAGCTTTGTATCAAGTTTGGCGTCTCAAATCGAACTCAGTCAAAGATCAGCCTGTTGTTTTCATCCGCCAGGTTCCTCTTCGAAGACCTTTTCCAGGTCGCCGTAAGCAGAGGTAGACAGAATCAATCCCATGCAATTACTTATCGACGCCATGCACGTGTCAGTGTAGTAACGATCTGGATGGATCCTATTCAGACAATACTATAAAAGTGTATTCTAGGCACAGACGTAAAAAGGATCCGCCCGTTGGTCGTCTGAAAGCACTGGCTTGGGAATGCGAGCTAACTACATGGTGATCGGTTGAACATACTGTGCGGCCATGCTGAGCGTAAAAGATTTGCTTGCAATCCCTTAGCAGCTATTTAGCGCTTGCGCACATCTGCTGCACTTTTCCGGTCACCGAGTTCATTACTTTTATTGTGATACCACTGTAGTGCTTATATTAATCCGATATGCTGTGAACCGATCGTACGTTTTTTTTCTTCCAGGTGTTGTTTTTGCTATTAGTTCGCTATTAATACAGGGTAATATCTGTGGGTCACCAAAATATTGTTAGTGGGGGCAAGGCTGTCTATTTCTAGGTCTGAGGTAGGGCGTGTCACTGCTTCCAGGTAAGTGATTAGCGCAGATGCATACGGTAAACAGCCTCGCCAAACCCTACCGTGCTGTGCACCAACCGCAAGTAACCGATTTTGTGGGTTAGACATTAGTGGAACCAAGTACTGAGCCAAATGCAGGATTGCTGTTTAGTCGTTGTCGCCTTCATTTTTTCATAGGCAAGCATCTCAAGTCTTGCAAGGCATCAACTAGCCGAAGGCGATGTTTCTCCATCAACTCTGAGTATCGTATCTCCCCCACGTATCCCACATAAACTACGTTTATTTCCTAATTAATTTATCTGCAGAAAATGGCTTGAACTGGTATCATTGAATACATTTCCATAAGCAACAAAGCATTCTGTGCTCCCAAGAAAGTAAGTTCCACTAGTCAGATTTTTCATGATTCCACCCGGAATCTTACATAGGAAAAGTCTCGGTGGCTTGACAAATTGATCCAAGTGAAGCGAAAATCTGGCATATATTTCTCCTAGTTGGCTCACTTGTCGCGAAACGCTTACAGCCCGCTAAAAAGGCTGACAGCATAAATCTACTCTCTACAACCATAAAATAGTCCGCGCATAACGGCTAGACAGCCTCTTAAACGGCTGTGCAACGCGAACTAGAGGAGAACATAAGAGCTACTCCAAACTAACCTCCGGCGTTTCAAAGTAAATTTCGGCTATGCTTGTACGCATTCCGAGGTGCAGGCTGCGTTGCCAGCAACATAAGCACTACTACACTGTCAAATAAGCCCGTCGTGTGGACTCGGATAGCATCTGGCAGAGCAATTTAGGTAGCCTGCTGTTAAGGCCATTGAACCATCTCCTTGCTGCATTAACAAGATTCGATCAGGTTCAATAGTTGAATGGTGTATGATGGGATAAAAAGCATAACTTTACAAAACCCAAGGATGGGAAATGCACAAGAAAATTAAAGTCAAAAATGTTCTAATGTGGAAGGTGGACTATCAGTAGGAAAGACCTCACATTTCATCACACTGTTGTGTAGTGCTTAGTACTAAGAGGAACGTCTAGTACTCTCTCGAATGTCGCGATGTTTGCTGCGTTCACCACATGTGTTGGTAATGCATCCAGTGAGTAAAGATTCTACGAGAGTAAAAATAGTTCCTTTAATCCAAACGGGAGTGTTGCGTTACTAGTTTCAGGTGAAGGCCTCAACATAGTTGGTAAGAGGCTAGGGTCAGTAGTGATGTTCATGGGTGCTCGCTCTCAGTTAGTATCCGGTATGTGAGAACGGGATCTCCTTGAAGTCGTCGCTATTCTGAGGAGAACACACGGAGTAAACGAAGGCGCAGTTCGTAACTGAGACCCGATAGTTCACCTGTTGCCCTGGTGACTTATTTGGGGATGCTCCAAGTGACGAATATCTCGTTTTAACCATGAGCGTCAGGGCTGAGCCGCATATTCAACGTGGGGACAAAGATATGTCTCGATCAACAGTGATACTAGCCGTCGTTCAAAGGTTTAGGGAGCTCGTGAAAATTACAGTATCGTTCAGTTTCATATCTGTCCTTGACTTTTTCGATCCTAATATTTGTGGTACCTCCGTTTACTTTCAGGTATCTTACTGTCACTTTGTGCTCCTCAGTTGGCCGCCATCTTGGACTCGGATTATTCATAATACCGAAGCAACCATTTTGCGGTGCTTGTTTCAATGTTGTCGGAAATCGAACAGATGCACCCATATGTTCAAAGTGTAAATCTTCACGTTTCATGCATTGGATTATCGAATCGGCATTTTCGTCGCCATCGTGAAATCGAACATGATTTCGTCCAAATTTTGTGAAAGGATTGCCGAAATGAGATACAGCCAGAGAAAGAGTGGAACAGAATCAAAAGCTACTGTGTGCATTGCTTCATTCTATTGCGAACAGCTCCGTGTGTTTGGCCCAACAACCTGCCCCGGAACGCCTTCAGGTTACAGAAAATCATTCCCGCTCGTTCCGTGCAAACTTACCGTCACGAAGTCCTGCCTTCGCAGACAGCTCATAAATCTCTGGATCGCGCGAAATCCATGCCGAATTCTAATTTCTTGGCGTTACTCCAAAATGAATGCAATATCCAATTCGTTAGTGGAAAGCATACTGATGAATTTAAACATTCCTGCTTAAAACACTTGTCAAGTATCTTTGATGAATTTCGGAAGGAGAATCTCGTATGAGCAAGCTCTCGTTCGTCACCTTCTGGTGCATACCAATAACCGAACGCAACACGCTGAAATTTAGGGGAAGTAAAAACTGAGAATAGCGGAATTTTGATTAAACCGCATATCGGTGGCACACATTTGAATACAACCTGCAGTCTCCGACTCAAATCCCCATTTGGCTGTGCAATCATTTCAGTACTTTCTATTACTTATCACTGATGGGACGCAACAGTTAATTTAAGATTTGCAATATCGTCTTACAAGAGCTTTATTGGTTACTGTTGTCAAATATTGGAACATACACCCTTAATCTTGTCGCTATTAGCCGTCTGTGCACTTCCTATTGTCAATAGCGGACCATGCTTGGAAGTTTTCTGATCAGCCTATGTTCCGTGCAAAGTACTCCACTGCACCTCCATGCTAATGCCTTTCAAGACGTGCCTCGCATAACCGAGAACAAAATTTATTTATTTATTCAACTGACACGAACCTTTTACCTGTGTTGTATCCCGAAGTGTGGCCTGTGTACTGCTGACTCATGAAACATACAAGGAAAAAATAGAAGACTGAAGAGAGTGCAACCTTTGTAAATCAACGGCAGTCCAAACCACATGAGTCTCGAGACAACCGTAACGCTGTAAGACGAACCTTGTCTGATAAGAGGCGTTGTACCTCGTGAGCTTCCATGATCCAACTCCCCAGATGCGCTACGATCATGATGTCAAGCGAGCAAATAGTCTATTTGATAGATTCCTCGAAGTGGACGAAGACGGGTTGAAAGTGGAAAAATGACCCGTCTTGGAAGAAAAGGTGCTCGACATAGTCGACCAATAAAAGTGACCTTCGTAGACGTTGCGAGCCCCAGGACTGACTTTATTCAGTTTGATTAGGTAGAATGTTGTGACGAT